GGTGGCGTCCACCTCTTCTAGAAGGAGCCGCTTCTTCCTCACGTGAATACCATGACCATGGTCTATGACGATCACGTCTTTTCGGCTCAAAACCGGCTTCTCGTGCACGTTTCGGCTCATCGCAAGCGTTTCGTGCAAAACGTTTCTCATCGTAACGATCGTAATCACGATAGTCACGATCATAGCTAACAGGAGTCCTGTACGAGTATCCCGCTCGCCAGGAGCTAAACCCCAATGGTGGCCTACCGTCTGCCCCATGAGTGGGGTTGTGTCTGTGTTTTTTCATATCAGCGTCCTGCTCTTGACGATTCTCTGCAATACGCGCGGAATTGCTCCTACAACGATGTAAAACACATTAAATGCTGACCTGATATCTTCGGTGGTTCTTCGGTCTTTGTTTTCGCGCTGGCTTGACGATATTCTGCTTCAGCAGATTGTAGGTTGGGGAACGCCTAAAAGATATATATGGGATCTCATAGCTGCAGGTGAGCAGAAAGTATGACTTACTTTAAAGGACGGAACAGGACGGGGAGGGGAATGCCGCTTGTCACACTTATGCTTCTCCTTCACATCATTATCCAGTACTGGAGTTTCAGCAGCATTTTCGTTTTCAGCTTGTTCCTCCTTTTTCTCTTCAGCAGGCGCTTCAGACTTTAATTCCTTGTTCTCTTCTTTCTTTTCCTCCGAGTTTTCCTTCTTTTCCTGCTCCTTCTTCTTCTTATCCTCTTCAACTTGCACTTCATAACTTGCATCGATACCTTAGAAAATAATTTCACTGTTATTTTAGAGCAAAATTGAACCTGCTTCAAATCTTACCAAAGTTTGCTAAGGCGCTAGTAACAACTTGTCCAATTTCCGTAAGATATTGCATTCCTTTTGCTACTTGTTCAGTTAGCTGTTCCTTCTTTTCTTGTACACCGAGGCTAAAAAATCTTGAAATTGATGAATTCAAATGCACGAAAATCGCTAAAACATGGAAAGAGAAAACTAACCGATGGATAACACCATCAAAAGCGGGAGGATGATGAGGATGATGAGGATGATGATGGCCAGGTCGTCTTGTGTATCTCAGACGTGCACCCCACGGTATATAGGTGCGCATCGGGTCGACAATTCGAATCATTCCGTGGTTAGCATGGACTCCTGAAATAGGATGTATGGGGACCTTACCATAAGAAATCTAGTGAATTATTGATGAGCAGGCTCATATGGGCGTGCGCTCCGCCCACTTTGCTGCCTGACCAATCAGGATAAAGATCAATTTAGATATAGAGTTGCACATTATGCACGCTACGAGTTGCTAAATTTTATAGAATAGCGCATTGTCACCAGCTCTCAGTGAAGACCACAGGAGAGTTTCTGAAGCAAAAGGGAGAAAAACTGACCAAAAAACGCGAGCGATGCAACCTTTTCAGAAGGCAAAACTCATTTTTGACCAACAGGGTGAATGTGAATTTTTACTAATTTAGTA